AGGGGGGTGGGGATGGACACACAACCTAACTGTGGGTACTTAGTGGGTGCTCGACAAAGGACAAAGAGTGGCCGAGCCCAGCGGGGGGAAGGGGGCAGGAAAGGAGGGTGGGGATAGTTTTTGGCTGGCTTTCTTCGGCTTCAGGGAAAGACATTCTTTTTCTGGGTCGCGGAGCTGCTGCGGGAGAGAGAAGGGAATTTCGCCATCACCCAGACGGAGCTGCTGCTTCTTCTCCTTCTCCCCTCTTTGTTGGTGGCCTCACACCACCTGTCCTGCCGGGACATGTGGCAGTGCCAGCCACCGCCGCGGAGCTGCTGATACACCTCAGCCACCAGCCCGAGATCTCAGCTCATCCCTGCTGTTCCAGCCGACTCTTCCTCAGAGCCTTGCAGGAGCACCGGGACTGCCCGCCCGAGGGGGTTTGTGAAACAAAGCCTCTGCTCCATCCCATTTCAGCCGAGAAAGCTGTCACGGGGTCCCTGGTTCTGTTTTGTTGTTAATGCTGTAGTTATTGTTGTTTGTTTGCCTGGTTATACTAGTAAAGAACTGTTATTCCTATTCCCAGATCTCTGCCTAAAGGCCCCTTGATTTCAAAATTATAATAATTCGGAGGGAGGGGGGTCTACATTCTTTCATCCCAAGGGAGGCTCCTGCCCTCCTTAGCAGACACCTGTCTTCTAGAACCGAGACAATATGTACACTTTATACTATACTTTAAAGACACTCCCCCTTCTAGAATTAATGCAAGCATATTTGAAAGTTCATTTACTTTAAAGCCTTAGCTGTGATTCTGCAAACATGGTGTCATTTGCATGGAACAAACTGCTTATGGTAATTGTACTATGTATAGTCCCAGCCAACTGTCTGCTAACTAACATCCAAAAGCAACAGAACATATGGGTCACTCTAGCACACTTGACAGGCCAAAAATCAATGTGTCTAAGCCTAGTTACACCTGGAGATCCTTTCTGCACCTGTCTCACAGGAGTCCCTGAATGGGATCCTCAAGCATTTAAAGGTTTAGTTAGTAATGAGGCTCGACTGAATCAGTTGCCAATGTTGCAAGAGTGCAATCGCACTGTTGGCTTCACATCAAGACAACTTGAAGCCTGCTGGCAAGCAAAAATTATCTAAATTCTCAATGTTACTATAGGGCCCCCAGAAGAATTTGTTAGGTTCCACCAATACCTCAGGTGGATGGATAATGTTTGAGCCCCAACAAAAAGCCATTCTAACAAAGTAATGCAGCACTGGGCAACAGTCAACCCTATAGTGATCTCATTACACTGAAAGTAAAGCTTTTTATTCACAGTGCAATCTCACAGGATGATTACCAAGGTGATTACTTAGTTCAATATTCTTAACCTGTGGAGACAGAGCATAGAATGGAATTCCTGTTAGCCCACATGGAAGACCCTGTTACCTTGGGAAACTTACTTTGTTCCATCCAAACTTACATCAATTACTGAATATAGCTGGTAAAATAAGAAACATCAAATGGTCAAAGCGAAGACTGAATGAATTACAATGTGATGATGTTAGTGACCCAGACTTTTGGAGTCGTGGTATAATACGGCCGCCTTTTTCAGTCCAGGAACAGCTGCTGCTAAAGGCTTGTCAACTCTAAAAAGGCTCGCTTGTTGGACCAAGAAAGAACTGAACTTAACATCAACAATATTAAGTGAACTTTCAGCTGATGTGAGTAGTGTATGTCATGCAGTATTGCAAAATTGAGCTGCAATTGAATTCTTGCTCTTGGCACAAGGACATGGTTGTGAAGAGTTTGAAGGCATGTGCTGTTTGAATCTTACTGATCATTCAGTTTCCATCCACAAGCAACTACAACAGCTATTCTACAACCCATTCTATAATGGGTTACATGCCCTGAAAGAAAACAGTGGCCCCATTGGAAGCCGGTTGGCCAACTGGGGAAACACTGGATGGTTAAGGTCTCTTGTGCTAGAAGGGGGATGGATTTTACTTATGGTGTTAATTGGGATAGTGGTTTTAAGCTGTATGATATCTTGCCTCCGTAGAGGTGTAGAACAAGTCGCATCCAAAGCCTGGCTTGTGCAAAAAGAGAATGGGGGAATTGCAGAGAATATTTTAACAGAAGGTGGGCATGATATTCTTGTAAAAGCCTATCTGCACAAACCAGTCTTTGGTATAAGCAACAATATTAAAGATAATGTTAATAGTAAAAGGTCTTAAAATCTTAGAAAATTCAGGGACTTAGAAAGAAAGTTAGGTTTGGAAAGCCCTGGGAAAAGTAGGCCCTGAGAAATGTTAGGCCTTGTGCATGCTAAAGATCAGGTCAAACTGCACCTGTGTAGTCAGTATATGATAAATTATACAATTGTTAGATGTGATTAGATATAATTATTGTTTAAAGAACATGAGGAACAATGTTAGGGGGCTAGGGGGGATCACGAGAAATCCATGCTTGGGTAAAAACAATGCATACAATGGAACAATGTAAGTTTAATAATTAATATATAAGTTGCATAACGATAGAGTATAAAATATGTTCAACTCAAAACCAAAGGGGGTCAGATTTGAGTATGTGTACCCCTGACACCCAGAGCTCTTCAATAAAGCACCTTCATATAATCATTCATGATTATGTGTGTTCCTGAACGCTAACAATGTCCTTGAAACTCTCCTGAAGCAGAGAGAATGAAAGAAAAACAATATCCTTGTGTACAGGAGAAAAAATGTAAACCAATGTGCATTAGCCAATAGTAACTTGCTAAGCCCGTGGACCCTGTAAAACCCTATGTGTGCTAAAGATAGAAATAAACGACATTTGCGATACTTCTGTGAAGACTCGGTGAATAGTCTGAGCTGTTTCTCAATACCACCATGAAGAACAGTCATAATTTACTATACAGTTTCTGAATATTCTTCAATCTGTATAATTGTAAACTGAAAGACTATTAATTTTCAATATTCCCTGACTGCCTTTCTCCACTGCAAATTCCCTTCATAAAGATATTTCATTCAATATGATATCCATGGAACAACCAAGAAATTAACTTGACACTTTTTTACTGTTTTGACTTCCATAGAGTCCTATTTTTCAGTGAATAAATCAAACTTTAAATTTACAAAATGGATCAGCATAAGCTGACATTCTATTGTATAGAGAATTATTCTTCTTTTTAAACAGTCAAATAAATAATTTCCCGCCTCAGTTATTATTCATAAAACACATGTTTTTGACCCTTTATTTTAACCCACTAGAGAAAAAGCCATCACTAACTTACTGCAATATCAAGCTCTAAGAGCAATGCAGTCTTTATCGCATCTTCCCTAGTGAGCTGAACTGCTTTTGTAACTGGCACTTCAAAGGTTGTTCCCTCTGAAATAAGTGAAGACAGATGTGGATTCTGAAAAAGATGACACAAAAACTTACAGTAAAAATGCAAATCAGCTCTATGACATCTTGCTACAACATACAGGAATTGGTGTTGATACAGGTTGTTTTTGAAATAATCTCAGAAACCAAGTCAAAACAATAAGGAAAAACATGAATCTTCTATACACATAGAGTATTTTGCTCTTTTTAAAAAATCACATCTAAGCAACAACTGGCATATATTGAATTACAAAAAGTCAGTAGGCTTGAACAGTCTAATAGGCCTACATTATCAAATGCAGCAAGCTGTTTCATTTCTCAAGAACTGCCTTGAAAATAGCCAATTAGAGAATGGCATTTATGTTAAACCCCAGAAAACTCCTGCCTAATTAAAGGATTATTAGGTGTATGGGATGAACTTATTGCTTATTGGTTTACAGCTTAAGGCTTTGGGGTCCATTTGGGGTCTACTACTTCAGGCAAATTATAAAAGGAGTTTTAAATAGAGCTAATGAGCAAAATCCATTCTACAAAACAGAATCATGTTATAACATAACATTTCTACACAAGTAAAAATGTGCCCCATGTATGACAAATGGGCACCAAGAATAATTCCAGATCACATATGTCAAAGGCTGTGACTTGAAGATCAGACTACAGTCCTCACTTCTCCATCTCTATAGTCAGCAAGTTTCATTTGAGATCAATGCAGACAAAAATAAAGAGGCAGGAGGGACACCAAATGCCTATAACAATACTCTGTCAATGTAAAGGAATCATCATACCAATGGGAGAATATTTGTTAATCTAAAGATTTCCTATTTCAGAAAGGAGACAAGAGAATCACTTGAGACCAACAGCTGGAAGTTTCTTTGTTGACTTAAGATTTTGACATGATGATTAATGGCTTGGGTCATATCAAATCATTATGCATCAGGACTGTTGTAATTGTCTACATTTGTATTCCCTTCAAGTCAAATTCAAGGCATAATGAAATCAAGATTTAAGCTAAATTGTATTATCTTACACTTCCCACAAATGTTTTAGACCTTTGCTGCTCTGCTATTAGTATACAGCAGCTTGTCAATTCAACCCTGAGACTCACCAGCCCAAGGCAAGATCATTTAAGTAACTGGAAAGATCATGTACCAGGTCTTCTTTAAATGGCAGGGAGTCTATGTTTGGAAATATCCAAAACTCAACTTGATGCATTTCAAAACATACCAACTTCAGCTGTATTTGGCAAAAAATACCCATAGCTGCTGTTGCAATGTGAGAAACAAAAAAAAGGACCTGAATGATGTGATACCTGCAAAACCAAACATGAAACCTACATAGAACCTACTTGTTGACAAGGTCTAGCCAACTATGTAAAAAATAGTTCCAAAGGGAAAAACCAAAATCACATATTTCATACTTTCTGGGGCTCAAGACAACCACCCTGTTTTACACCTGAAATATGGATTATAATCTTTAATGTCACTGAGTTCCAGATTAGCAGATTCATCTTTTTCCATTTGCTGTTAAAAACAAAATTAACTTTTTTTTCTACATACAGAAAACTTATGGCATCAGTATTAGAACTGATGAACAATTTCAGTGATCAGTCTGAATGCATGCTGACATTTTGAAAATGGGCTCTTTTAAGGAGTGTAGCAGCACATTCAACACAACTATTAGTTTTTAAAAGAAGAGTACCTCTAAATCTTAAACCTCCAAGAGCTTTATTAAATTCAAAAACCTGAGCAAAATCAACAATACAAGGTTTAAAATAAAAGCAAAATATAAGTGTTTAAATCCATACACCTTACGTAACTGTATTTCATGTATATATGTACATACGTATATACATAATTTATTAGCTAGATTAATTGATCCTCTCATCATTTCCATTAACAGTCTTAACAGAGAGAGTGTCAAGAGTCTAGAGGATACTAAAGGGCTTTCATGATCATGAGCAGCCACACCAGAGGACTGGGCCCAGAAACCGCACCTCAGCTCAGGACTGGTTGTTCAGTCCTGGCCTCAGCTACATTACAGCACTACAGGTTGCAGCTCAACCACAACCACAACCATGACAGGACACAGATCCTGTTGAACCAGGCCTGGATCCTGAGACCAGTTTCTTGGCTTGGGCCAAGATATCCACAAACTTGCCTGATGATCTGCACTCTTGGCTGACCCTGGCAGCCACCTCTTGCTTGACATTGCTTGGGTAGTGGGTAGCAATGCTGCTGTGTTACCACAGTCAGCTCCTGTCTCCCTGTCATTTAAAGAGCAGCCAGACTTCACTGCTTCCTCGCATGGAACTGAAACATCTGCCCTCTGCAGGCAACTCACTCATGCTGATTTTTTCTTAGTATAGCAGGTCTTTGTTCAGTGTGGCTTCAACATGAAAAGTATACTTTTGAGCTACAGTTCATCTTCCATTTCCCACAGTAAAATAATGATCAAGTTTTCACAATGACAAGTTTCTCTGCTACTAAGCATGCAGCAAGATTTTGAGCAATTTTACAGCCTCTTAGCACATTCTGAAAGTACTAAAAATTGGAACAGAAACTTTACTGTACTCCTCATTACAGCAAGACGTTTTCACTGTTATGAGCCACAGAGGATTTGAATTCTTGCCTTCCTGGCAGTGTAATACCAACTTACTATCTAGCTGAATTATACCTTGACATAAGTGTCCATCATCCATATGGCGGCACCCACATTCAATATAAATGACTTTTGACTTAAATTTCAAAAGCCCCCTGCATTTGAGGACTTATCTCCATTATGTAAGCATTCATTTGCTCTTTTGAGCTTTATGTAGAAGTATACACTCATACTTATGCAAGAGCTAGAGGCTTCCATCACTCAAAGGGAAGACCTTACCTCACCCTGGGTGTCCTGAAACTCCACTTCAATATATTCTGGTGGCAGAGCAGGAATATTAAGAGCAGACTGAGAGACAGGAGGAACAGAATGAACAAGTGAAGGTTTGGTGTCTCTAGCTGGAGCCACAAGATTGATGTCATCCAGTTTCTGTGATAGAACACCAGAACCCCTTACTCCCTCATCTTCTAGCTTCAAGTTCTGTACTTCAGGGCTTAGCTTTAGCTCATGCACAGCATGTGGAGCTGTAGACAGAGAGCTGGAAACAGCCTTGACAGCATTGTTCATGCCTTCTTTCTCTTTCTGCAATTGCAATGCTTTCTTGAGGGCAAGCCAAAGTCCATCAATCCAAGGATCAACCACTAATTCCAAACTGGGAATGGAGGGGAAAACAAAGAAGAAATGCATGGATGAATTATTTTGACTTTCTGGACTGTTAATTTACAAATAACAAAAGACCACAAATGCAAAAAAAACCTATTCACTTTCTATTTTTAATACACATCTGATATATATTTTATATATGTATATATACATATTTATATATTTTAATATATATTTGCTACAAAGATTACTCTGTGTAAAAAAAATGTAGCTATTATCACTATGTAAATTTACAGAGTCTAAAATGTTTAACAGCCTTGCTCTTCTTCCAGTTTTTCATTTTTATTTTCATATGCTGAACTTTATGACAAAGTTAAAGGAATGGTAGCAGAATATGCAACTTTTCACTGTGTAACATCACTAGCTTACACTAATGGCCGATTTTTATTATTTTGGAGCACAAGAGATAAGTTTTATGGTTATGACAATGTTTGTGTTCAACAGCCTTGTATCATCATGTACAGAACCAATACAAGCAGCAGTTCAAAATAACTAAGCCAAGACTGCAGCCTACTAGCCAGAAAGAACAGCAGAACAGGGAGTTGTTTTCTTACATAATTCCTCTACAGCAAAGAGAGAAGTCTTCATAATTGCTCTTACATAATCCTCTGCCCCTCCCAAAAAGAGAAAAAAGTAAAACAAAACTACATTTTCTAACCCCTCTACTTCTACTTATTTAATTTCTAAAACTGCTATATACTGTTTTTTCAGGCATTCAGATGTTTCCTCACACTTTAAAATGGAGTTTTACTTAATGGCAATTGAGACTGAACAGGCATATTATGCTTAGGCAGAAGTAATTTCTATGAGGTGCTGAATATCCAGCTGCAATGAACTTCAAGTGGTTCAGAATATTTAGCCAAATGCCTACACAAATATTGCATCATTAAGAAATAAAATCCAAGCCCATTCTGCTCTTACCCTACACAGTCATCTGCTAATCCTGTGTCATAGAAGTGCTGGGCACCAAGTTCTTGAAGTCGTCGGTCTACTGTCCTTCCACCATTACAAAAGAACATGTACTCTGAATCTCCCAGACCTAGAAGATTCAAGAAAAGAGGAGTCGTGTTAATCAGGCAGCTTCCCAGGCTACATAAAATCAGGACAGACTTTTCTTGAAGGCAAACAGAAGAATCAGATATGTTGGAGCAAGTCCACAAGAGGGCACCAAGATGATTAGAGGAATGGAGCATCTCTCCTAGCAGGAAAGGCTGAGATAATTGGGTTTGTTCAGCCTTGAAAAGAGAAGGCTTTGGAGTGACTTCATTGTGGCCTTCCAGTACCGAGACTACAACAAAGACATGGGGGATTTTTACAAGGACATGTGGTGACAAGATGTCGCCCTGAAAACTCAGCTTCTGAGTTTGCTAACATAGTTTTCTAAAGACTTTCCCAGGACAGTAACTGTAAACATAGATATGTGTACATTCTTTCTGTTATCACGTCTTGTGATGGGCATTTCTCATGGCCAGTGCAGTGAGTAAGTGTTATCCTGACCATCCAATCCCTGGCCATGGTCACAAGCCTATAAATCCTGGGAGGAAAAATAAACTCTGCTCTTTCTTGCACCACACCTCAACCTGTGTCCACGTGATCTATTCATCTTCAGCGATAACATCTGGTGAACCCCAACGTGTGTTGCACGTGTGTTACAGGGTACTGTCTAGCCTGTGGCTATGGATGGTTTTGGGCTTTCTGTTATGGAGGGCCTGGTTCTGGAAATATGGCATGCGGTTTGATCAGAGAGGGATCGATGTTTCATATGCTGACTTTCAGCGATTGTGTGAGTATGGCAGAATTGAGGGGTTTTTCCCTGTGGTTGAAGCGATTTTTTCGCAGTCGGCTTGGGAGGCTTTAGGTGATTCCCTGTTCGAAGCTCTGCTGGTCGGTTATGAGCCCCGGGTGCTCCAGTTGCTGGGGATCTGGCGAAGGTGCTTTCTGAGGTCAGGCCCCGAGGTCGGCTCCCCCGGGATTGCCGGGGCCCCCGGCGGGTTGAACGGAGCCGCCGCGGGACTGGTG